ACAAGTTTAGTACGCTGGTGATACAGATTGAAGTACAGGAGCTGGGTTTGCAAAATGTAGTGTAAACAACCTAGATGATTTTCTGTTTGTGGGCAAGAAGGATCATGAAGTGTATGCCTGCATGTAGGGCTCATTTCAAGTACTGGCTGGAACAATGGAAGTGGGAGGAGCAGGGGGGAAAAAAGTGTCTGCCCATCTGTCCCCATGCTCACCTATTTTGTTATCAAACAGAGACAAGCTGTATTACTGGAGTTTCTGCAGAGAAGATTGGCAGAGTTAATGGTATTGATTAGGAGGGCCAAGCAGTCCTGAAGTTTACTGTGCATGAACTGGCCATCTTAATTTTGCGTGGATACAATAGGATGATGCTTTTGTACCCAGCTACAAGTCACCCTTTCTGAAATAGTTTTTCCCCAATCTTTTAAAGAGTGAATAAAGATATTGAGACTTATGTAGGGGGATAGTTCTTGGATTCATGTAACAGAGGGCTTTTTGCAGAAAGAATAAGATGCTAGAGGCAGAGCTGAAAGTTCTCACACATGCAGAAGGAGCATCTGATTTGGAGTTTAGACCAAGGCAGGTATTATGTTCTGAGATGACCCGCTGATTTGATGGCAAGGGGGAAGGTAAAGGATATAACACTTCTGGAATGTTAGTTGCAGTGCTGTGTAGAATGGAGAATTTCATGAAAAAGAGTGAGATTCTGAAGTGGCAGTGGCTCATTTCAATAGCTGGCTCTGCAGATTACTGCATTATGAGGTTAGTGAAGGTCTTTCCTTCTAGTGCGAAATCTCTTTTACTGCTGAATGGGTTCTTGGAATGAATTATAACATAGTTACAGCGGTGTAGGTTGTGTAGACCCTGATGGAAAATACGTAGGAGAGATCAAACAACAACTGCACACCAGAATGAATGTACACCGGAAATCTGTCAAAGACAGGAATACCCAATTACCTGTGGGGGCACATTTCTCACAAGAAAACCACTCTCTCTCTAATCTCTCAGTTCTGATCCTCAAATGAAACTTACAAAATAATTCCCAGAGATGAGCCACGAACTCCACTTCATCACCCTCCTGGATACAAAAAATCATGGACTAAATATAGACATTGGATTTATGACACATTATAACCTGCCTGACATCTGACTCCCCAGGTACCTCTCCACTATTCATCCCCCTTCTGCCCCCGCCACCCAGCCTGTGTCTCACCCATTGACTCCTCAATCTACATCTTCACTGACTGCCTATCTTGTATGCATATCAGCCCAGCCTCTGGCTTCTTTACTTTTCATTCCATCCAGGAAGAGCACGCACCAACTGCTGAAACATTCTCAGCCTTACGAAGGGTTTTTGAACCTGAAAGCTTGCTTAAAATTTTTTTTCCCCAACTATTTAAGTTGGTCTAATAAAATATATCAGATTCACCCAAAGAACCTTCTCTGCTTATAACATAGCTGATGGTCTTAATTAAAATATACAGATGGTGATACAGAAGCAGATAATGAAGAAAAGGATGCTGGCCCTCTGGAATCTTAGATTACATGTATTCTCAGATAATGCAAACATCAGCATCACCATGAGCCTTTTATTGTTCATTTTTAAGGGAAGAAAGGTAGGCCTGCCAAAGAGGAATGAAAAATCATCTTGATCTTTGGAGCATCAGAAACAGATTTGGGAGGTTTAGGTGAGTTCCATAATACTGCAAAAGTGTGGGGGAAGCAGAGGTTTGTTCAACTGGAGAACTTAAGGACCTGTGTGGTGGTGTGGCTGGATAGTGATGGGCAGCTTTTTTTTCACAGAACAGGGCTTAACTCTCAAAATTGCAATTTGTAGGCCTCTCTAAGAGGGCTAGATGGTAAATTTGGATCCTCTTCTATCAGTTGAAGCAGTGATGTTTGCAGCAAAATGAGGAATAGAGGTCTGTTGAAGGATGCATGGTGCCATTCAAACACATATACAAGCAGTCCTCGACTTCCAACATTTCGACTTACAACATTTCGCGCTTACAGCGTTTATAAATTGACACCCTGTTTCAACTTTATGATGTCAGTTTTGACTTACAATGCTTGATCTGATGCAATGCCATGCCAGTGAACAAGTCTGCTGTGTCGCCCATCTCCCTGGAGAACATCTGTCCAAACTTCCTTGGACGCTTTCTTTAAAAAAGCAGACATGACTCCAGAAAAACTTGCAGGCCAGACTCCTGAGAAGACTCCAACCAAGAGCCCTTCAGAAAGTCCAGCAAAGTCACCTCAAAGAAGTCCTTCCAAATCAATATGATTGTTATTTACGATTTAAATACATTAATGTAGCTATATTACTCATCTATAATTGATCGAGTACAAAATTCTGGGGTATTTTTGGTGAAAATAGGGTATCAGGCCTTGGTTCGGGAACCAATCCCCCATTTATAACATTATTTCTTATGAGAAAATTGGTTCCGAGTTGCAACATTTCAACTTAAGACACGGTTTTCAGGAACCAATTGTGTCGTAAGTCCGAGGACTGCCTGTAGTGTCTCTGATGGCCTGGGTGTGAGTACGTGTTTTGCTTTTTACCTGATTTTCAGAATCAAGGGGACAGGTAATAAGAGCCAGTGTCTGATTCCTAGGAAGAGTATTGTGTATTCAGAAGTGAGCAACTCTCTCTCTCAAATGTTTGTAATTGGGTTTTGTGAGGGGAAACATTGCTCTCAGAACAGTTGATGCTTTTTGATGATATGAAATAATTATTGTGCACCTGAGTGAAAACGATATGAAATTTTGTAATTGGGTAGATGCTTAATTGAGATGAAGATTTAGGACACACCTCATACTTTTATCTAGTGATAATTGTTTTCTAATAAAAACTGCTGCAGCAAAGAGTATGGGGAGAGCTGCCATCTTCCACAGGCTGGCGAGACCAGAGCAGGTGACTGAACTTGTACTGAAGCAAGGAGGAACAGTTTTTTTTTATCCACTGAAAATCTATTTGGTGTTTAAGTTTTTTCAGGAATGTAGGAAGCTGGGGGAAATGTATTCTTGGTTAATACTAAGGAAGATGCTAACCATCTGGAAACCTGACTCAAGATTGGACAGCAACCACACTAATTCCTGATGATCAGAGATCCTGGTTTTCTCTGTTTAAAAAAATCCAAAATTTTCTGACTGAAAACCCCAAATCCATGTTTTTCTGTGATTAAAATGAAATGCCACTATGTATATAGGTGTCAGTTGAATACAATGTTTTATTGATATATTTACAATTTTAAAGCAATTTGGAAGCATGCCAAGTGCTTCAATCCTTATAATAAAATAAATTCTAAATACCTATATATTTTGGCATTTGATTTTGGGTTTTTTTTTTTACCATGGAAAATCAGAGCTCCCCCTGTCCCCTTTGCTCACCAGGATGCAGGTCCAGCTGTGGCTGTCCCCCGTGCTGCTTTGGCGCTGAGCAGCTCTGATGTACTGGTGCCCCTGGCTCTGCCAGTGCTCTTCACTTCTGACCCACAATCTGCCGCCCCCCCCACCTCTCCGCTGGTACACCTCGCTCCAGACCCACAGTATGCCACCCCCCCTAGCTGTGCTGGTGCCCTTCATTCCTGACCCATTGTTCCTCCCCAGCCCTGCTGGTGCTCCTCACTCCTGACCCACTGCTCCAGTATGTGGAGCCAGGGGGGTGGGGTGGGGGGGCCACGAGGGGCCACCTTCCCCCCCCACAGATTTCTGCACCCGCAGTGGGGCATGGGGCTGCAACCTGTCCAGACTGGCACTGGGCAGGAAATGTCTCCATGGTCCAGTGGACAGGACCTGGCATGGGAGGGAGAGCCATGCAGCCATGACCGCCAAGGTGAGGCACCGCTGTGGCAGTAGCCCAGAGTTGTGCCCCCTGCTGCTGCTGGATGGGCAGGGGGTGCCTCACCTTGGCAGCCATGGTGGAGTGGTGCTTTCAGCAGCAGAGTTGGTAGCAGCAGCATCAAGCCACCCTGCTCCGCTCTGCCCTCCTGTGCTAGGTCCTGCCTATCAGGCTGTGGAGGTGGCTCTTGCACAGTGTTGGTCCGGCCAGGCTATACCCTGTGCCCCACTGTAGGCGCAGAAATCTTGGGGGAGGGCACATGTGCCCCCATGCATCCCTCCAC